TACAAAATATTAAATAATTGATAAAACGTTTGCTAGCATATTTTGTTCATAGATCTTGTCCTTAAAGCTTACTTCGATCACTCATATAAAAACTGGATCTTAATCTTTATTATCATCCTAAAAAACAATAATTCGTTGTTGTCGTTGCTACTAATTATAATATTATTGATTCGTATATTACAAATGTAACCAATCAAATCAATTAGCGAGTTTTATCTTTTTAAAATGTTTCCTTTTAAACTAAACTAAATAAAATAAACATTTTTTATAATTAATTTCTCTCTATAACGAACATCTTAGTAAACACATTCTATAACTAACGAATGCAGAAAATTACATATAGTGACGGAAGGTTCGTTATAGAGAGTGTGGATTGTATGATTGTGTAATTTTAGTATAAGAACCACACAAGTGAATAGAAGTCTATTATTTTAAAACAAACATACCTGAAATTATAACAATTCAGAAACTCCATGCGGCTTTACTATTATAAACTTAGAAATTCTACTTCTTAATCATCTCCATGACTAAATTTGATAGACTTGATGGGAAGGAACTAACAATGTAACAAGCATATAAAGAATGCAAAGTTTCACGTTATTAAATTAGTTACACAGTATAAAAAATGATAGTCACTTTATATCGTAGCATCGAAAGTCCACTCACTATGCTGGCCTCTTGTATAATTAGACAATGGTAGGTGCAATACACACACATACGTGATAATGTACACCGATATGACATCGATTATTATAAAGAGCGAGATGTTGATTTATTAATAAAGCATACCTCAAGTAAATGAAGGTATTGTTTCTTGTACGTTTAGAGGGCGAAGGATAAATGCAATAGACGCTCTGGACAACATAGAAGAATACCACATTGGTTGGATGTTTACAACAAATAGATTGTGTTTAGAGCTGGAGTCTTCAGACTATTTACTAGTAAAAGCATAAAAATATAAATCGAATTAAAAAAATCATATTGTATATAATAATAATCTAGGACATCACCAACCATATGCTTAGAATTACAATATTAGTATGCGAACATGTTGGATCCAATATAGAAAATAGCAAATACAAACTTTGTATATATAAGATTCGAATAAGAATAATACACAATACAATTATTGTACTTATTATTGTTTCTATTTCTTTTATTATAAAGGCTAAAACCCGAAACAAAAATGTCTATGTGGCCTTTTGATACTTCAACACCACCATTAACAATTCTGTAAAAGTTTTTTGATCGCTAGCTTTCAATGCACTGGATGACCACCTTTTGTGCCCTTTAAGGCTTTCTGAGTTTGATGGTACCATAAACTGTAGCATTTGAAATATTAAGTGTCTTTTCGACAGTAATAGTACCAGTTATTTAATTAAGGTCGAAAAATTTTTTCTTTTTTTACTTTCTATTATTTATAAATTTTATAGCTATGAAAATACGAAAATTACAAACAACCTCGCGATTTACTATTACTATTACTATAGTAAAAGTAATAGTAATTAATCTCAACGGATTTTAAACGTAAAAGTTATAAACAATCAATTTAATTTTTTTCAAATTACTAAATAAGTATTTGTACTTTTTTCTTTCAAAATTATAATAAATTAAAAAATGACTGCTCTTCATGAAATTCTTAAAAAAAGTAAACATGCGAAACAAAACAAATAAATATATTATTTATTAAAATATATTATTTGACTAAGCCATTCATTATTTATTATCAATAGTCATACTTGATTCTCTAAGAACAGTTCAACCACCAAATGGTTGGAAGGTGATGGTGGTAGATGCTCCCTCTTTAAAGATTATAGAATCAGCTTGTAAAATGTATGACATTCTTGAAGAAAAAGTTACTTGTAAGCAAAAATTATTTATTTATATAATTTAATGTATGAATGGACAAATAAATGAGGCGTTAATTCATTTATTCAAATCACATTTGTATCCAATAGTGGTGGAAAATATTGAAAAAACTCGTCAACCTTATCCACAACTTGAAGCAATTTATTTGTTATCACCAACCAATGAATCTATCGATGGAGTGATCAATGATTTTAATAAAAGCCCACCATTATATTCAGCAGCGAATCTATTTTTCACATCAGGTAATTGTTATAATAATAAATAATATTATTAATATTGATGTTTATAATAATAAATTATATTATATAGCACTTGATGGCAATTTGTCCCTGAAATTAGATTCATTCTTTAATCCGATTTTTGATAAAATATGAGGGCCTTACTTTCAAAATTGCAGAATGAGCTTTGAAGGTTCTAATATCTCGATCTGTTCCAACTTTTAATTTACACATCATAAAAATCAGATTCGTTTAACAAATTTGCAAAACCATTTACAAGTTTACTAATATGCTTAAGGCATCTTTATTGGAGTCGATAATATTGTTACATGGTGAGTCTCGGTATAAAGAATATTTAACTAGTACAAATTTAGATAGAAACTAGCCGCAAAAAAAATTGAAATTGATTGGATATTACTGCAGAAAGTTTTTTAAATTTGTACTAGTTAAATATTGATTATAGTGTGTAGATTTTCGAAGAATTTTTAATTTTAAAGTTCAAATGAAAATCACCAATTGTTAATTTTCATTTT